CAACTCATAAACAATTTGGTATTATGCCATGAAGTTGCTATCCAATATTTCGAGCAGAGACCTTATCAAATTTGGCATCTTACACTTTTTTTCATGGACAAGGATGAAGATACCGTTAAGGCAATGGCTGGAACAGTAGCGATGCTGACGGCGGTCAGCAAAGAGGCTTGCGAGCAAATACTCTATTTGAATTCCTCGCTAAAATTCCTATACAACTTATTCTCTAATCCAAACGGTGATATACAACGTAAGGGTATCGAAATTTCGTTAAATATAATAAGAAATACAAAAAACATTGCTACAAAACTCATGAGAACAGATATAATAGAAGCATTGAGAACACTGAGCAAGGACGATACCGTACAAAACAACATCAAGAAATTGGCTTTAGAAGCTGGTGCAGAATGGGACAAAATCAGAATAAACGACGAAAGTGACGAATTGTCACAAAGCACTGATAGTTTACAACATGTCGATTAAGAAAATTATATAAATGTTAATTGGGATCTTAATGTCATATTAATGGAATTCTTTTTTATTTTAATAAATGACAGCACAATGTATAATATAATTAATAAATAACGAAACTTTGCATTTACAAAACTCTCATCTACAAGACTTGCGCTTTTTACGCAATAATATTCTAGCTTCTTCAAGCACGAAAGTATTCTTTTTTTTACTGGCTTGCGTCATCCCTTTGTCTCTATGAAAATCTCTTTTTGAATTTCTGATTGTCGCTTTTGCAGGTTATAATTTGTTTCTTCGCTGCTGCTAGCAATCGGTGAAGCTCGGAGAATGCCGCGGACGTATAGATGGGTTTCATCTCGACGCCTGATTCTTGCAAGATGGAGGTGCTAATGTTAGCACCGATAAAGTTTGTTCATCTTGTGGCAACCCATTAACCTACATATATATTTAATAATAATATATTATAATGTTTACATTTAAATTTAACCCGTTGTGGTCACACCTCTTAAAAATAACGTAGTGGTCACACGGGGTCCAATGGACCCCACAACAGTTTCCATTTGCGTTCTTTTTGATGTATCGACTCAAACCTTGAACTGGAATTAATTTATGACTTCCTCTTGATAATCCAATAATTTAAAAAATTTTTTTATGTTGAAAAAACGCGAGAAAAAAAAATTTTTTTCGAGAAATTTGACTTTTTTTACAAAAATATTCATCAAAATTTTTTGAGATAGAGTAAAAAAACTTTGTGCGTTTTACTTTCAAAATAGTATACTTTTGGAAAAAAAAAAAAGAAAAAAAGCCTGGGGTCCACTGGACCCCATGTGACCACAACGGGTTAAAACAGGTGTACGAGGCTTTTACGTATTCTATAACGGATTCTATTGCCTCGTCCGTATCTTTAAAGATTTTATTGTTTCTCATGTTCTCACAGATAGTCACAAAAACACGGGCAGTCTCCTGGATACATTTCAAATAATATCCAATATAGTAGAAAATGATCTTTACGAAAACGCGTATATTACGTTATAGACTACGTAAAGGGACACTTCCTAAACGCAAATAATAAAGTTTAGCTGCACAATTATAATTATACCATTTTGAGCATATGAATTTATTATCACCAACCTGCAATTCGTTAAATATCAAAATAGGATATTTTATAAATTGCTATAGATTTTCTTAGGTTCTTTTCAACGGACTAAAATAATTTTCTTTCCGGCATGTCCATCACGGCAGTAACTTGGGTATTAACCTTTCCGTTTTCTTTATTTTTATCAGTAGCTCAAATTCTTGTATCTCTTCTTCGAATAAAGCTGACCAAAGTTCATTCGGATCTTTGAAATTGACGTTCAGCGATCTGGTTTTAAAGTCAAGAAGCTGAAAGATATACATTTGTAAGAACGATCGAGCATTAATTAAATCACAAATTTTTAACACGTCAGTCCTTAATTACGTCTTGCTCGTCGTCTATATCTAACGGAAATTCCTCGCCGCTGGTGCTCATTAAATCTCTATAATTTTTTGTTTAACAGTCGGATTGTTCTGCTGAAATATCAATTTTCTTTCGTTGCACTACTTGTAGAATCTCTCTTGCTATATATACCAACCCTTGACGATCGCACTTGGTGCATCTAATACAAAAAGAAAACGCATGCAATTTAAAAAGAACTACACACACGCAGTTTGAAAAGAACCTCGTACGATTTCTAGAGAAAGTCACGTGATGCTCAACGTTGTGCCTTATTAGTTAGGCAGGTCACGTGGTTACGAAAAGCCAATCAGAATGAAATTCTATTCTAGCGTGACAACTCACGATGCTCCTATCGGATAATCCCCACGGACGATGCTTACCGTGGTTTAAGTTACTCCTTGAAAAGTCCTACGGTCGTAAACAATCATAGAACGAGTACAGAAGGTTTGAGAGTGCTCGAGCTACACGAGAAAACAAAAGGAAAGTTATCCGACAAGTAAAGGATCTACATTCTGTTCTGTTTCGCCGACGATCTCAATGAAAGCTTGCCGCGTGTGACGTGATCAAATTCGACCTAATAAAAAGGTATTTGTAACAAACGTGTATTACTCTTCACCTAAAAATATCTCAACGAATCGTCGAAACAAGTAGAGCGTAATGTTTCATCTCCGCTACGGTTAAACCAAACGAGTCAGTAATTTCATTGTAGGGACAGTACACGAGTTCATCTGAGTGAGTTGCAATTAGAACATTAACGTAAACGCGTGATTAGAAACGTCTCATGTTATACGAAAAATCTCATGTTGCATAAAGACACAACAACGACGACGAATAACATAGCATCTTAATTTTATAATAAACCGTAATCCTGTAATTCTGTAATAATTTATAATAGATTCCAGATCCAACGTACTTTTACGATGTGATAACAATATTTCCCTTCTTTATGGAACTGAAAAATTAACTTTCGTGTAATGTAATATTTATCTCGTCACCTTTGACTTACGAATCTAAAATTTTTGTTGCTCGAGACTTTATTTTCTTATGCTTACCCTTGCGCCGCCGGTCTGTTTATATGAAACATGTAACGAACTGGTTTGAAAAAATCAAAGAATTAAATGTATATCAAAGCAAAAAAAAACAAAATACTCTATTGACGGCACGTTAATGCTCTCATATTTGCATGTAATTATTTAAAAATAAATTTTATTCTCTATATATTTTGCAATTAAGTTAATATACATAAAATATTACAGAAAGTCTTTCCATGTTAAAACGTATAACGAATCATATATTTTGTGTTGTAGAGATATTCCACCATGGCAGAGTCAGATTTGACTGAACAGGAATGGAAAGAAAAAGGTAATAAAGAGTTTAACAAAGGCGATTGGTCAGAAGCATTGAGTAACTACACAAACGCACTGAAACTACCAAAAGGAGGCAACGCTGAGAAAGAAATGTTCTACAGAAATCGAGCTGCAGCTTATTTAAAGCTGGGCGATTACGAGAAAGCTATTAAAGACTGCAACACTTCGTTAAAGATATGTTGTAATAAAGCATTGTATCGCAGATGTCAAGCGCTACAAGCGTTAAAGAGATTCGAGGAGGCATATAGAGATGCAGAGATTATTATGTCATCTGACCCCAATAACAAAGTTATTCAACCCGTAAAGGAGCGCTTACATGAAATTGTACAAGATTGTCGTAAGGACTCACATCTTAGTGCCACGGTAAATATACATAACTATTACAAAGATTCATCAACTTGCAAGACATATTTGGTCTAGTTAATATAAAAATTATAACATAATTCTTGTACTGGATATATTAGTAAAAGTTTTTATTTCTCAAAATACTACACATGATTTGACAAATTGATTTAATTTTTTTTTATTATATAATTATTAATTGCTATTTAATTAATAGAATACTTGCTATGTAGATAGAAGTTACATAATACAAATATTATCATTCACAGTTATTTTCATTTTTATTACACATCATTATGTTTAAGAATACGCTTATTTTTACTTTGTATTAGATATCGCAAATGCTGGATTTAGCATTTAACGTGAGCGCAGAAAAGAAGAAACGTGAAATCGCTATGACCTCTCTACTTGTGCTCGCACGTGACGAAGCTAGTGCCGAGGAGATATTCCAGAAGGAAGCTGTAACAAAAATCGCACAACTTATAAAAGTTGAAGAGAATGAGAAAGTGATTTGTAGCGCAATTCGTATTGTGGGCGAGGTATGCAAAAACAATATTAAACGAACCGAGTCCGTTGTGAGATATGTCGGTTTGCTTTGGTGTCTGGAAGTCATGAACAGCACGTCTCCAAAGATAGTCAACGCGTCTCAATATTGTTTACAGGTTGATATTATCGAACAAAATAATACATACAGTTATACATATTTACACATATTTTAGTAATTAAAATATTATTGCATATTTTGGTTTCAGAACATATTGAACACTTACAGCGGCATGAATAATGAACGTGATGCAAAACCCGATAAGACTTTGTGCGAAACACATAAGAATGAACTTGATATGATTTTGTCATGCTTATTGAATAGTGTAACGAATAAAACGATAACAGGACTTGCTAGAGACGCAATAATAGAACTTATTACGCATAACATACATACTGCATTAAACTGGGCCGAACAATTGGTCGAGCTTCGCGGTTTGCAAAAATTATTGGAGATAGCCAGTCAATTGGAGGAATACGAATCCTCGTTCGACATAACGTCTTCCACGCGAAATATAATCAGTATATGCTTTGCAAAGATATATGAAAACACGTACTGTAATGATGATAAGAGGACATTTATCAATGCCACTGAAGAATTTATTGGGAATAATTTGCTTAAATTTGACACAGAATCCAAAGTAAGAATTTTGAAATTAATCTTTTTTAATTATCTAAATTAATTCAAAATAAAGTCTATAATCTCTAAAGTCTATAAAATTTAAATTAAACTCTATAATCTCTAAAGCAATTAAAAATGTCAAAAAAAATTTCTTTTTTAATTGTCGATATTGTATATTGTGTGTAACTTACACATATATTAAAATACGATTGTAACAGAGTTTAATCGAAATTTATTGAGTACGACTTTATCATCTATTGTATTTTCTGAAGCATAATTTACCAAAGATTTTTCGTATTTTTTATCAAAATTAAATAACAATGTAGCTGCTTTGATTTATTTTTCATTAATCAAATATTGTTTTACGTAAAAATTTATAAATTGTTACTTGATTGTTTCATAGGTGCGCATAGTACTTGCGATAACAACTTTAGTATTCGGTTCGTTAGATGTTGCGGAAGCAGTTATCTTTGAACCAGAGATTTTTAAGATGATCTTTGCTATGTCAAAAACGGATGACATATTGCAACAGAAAGTGGTTTGCGAATGTATCGTTGCCGTTGTGACCAAATCTAAAAAGGTCAGTGTGTTTATACGTCAAAGTGTAAATATATTGGAGAACCTGTATCAATCTGAGGATGATTCAATTCGGATTCGAGCGTTAGTTGGTTTTTGCAAGTTAAGCAAATTTGACAAAAGCATTTTGAGCGATTGCACGACTATCGAACCGTTCGCAGATGGAGCGACGAAGAAATTGGCCAAGGTTTGTACACAAGTCTTAATTAATCACAAAAAAAGAAAGGACATTAGAAAATGGGCCGTTGAAGGCCTGTCGTATCTCACTAGCAACGTCGAGGTCAAAAAGGAGTTGATCAAAGACCGACAAGCCGTTAAAGCGATGATTGAGCTCGCCGAGACTAACGATCAATCGGTTATCTTCGGCCTGACGATTATATTGGTAAACTTGTGCGACGCTTATGACAAGAAAGAATTCATACCTGAAATGACAGAATTGGTAATGTTTATTAGACGTTATTTTTCCGAGGAATATCTGACCAAAGATGGCAACGACTTCGTGATAAAACGATACGTGTTAGCGAATGAGGGTGTGACAGGCGCTCTGGTAAACCTCGCTAAAACGGACAGCTGGAACTGCAAGGAATTAATAGCTCGCGTATTCAAAGCGATATGCAGTCAACATAATTTGAGAAAAATAGTTGTTGATGAAGGCGGTATGGAGGCATTGTTGTCGTTATCGCTGAATGGCACAGACAAAGGAAAAAAGTATGCTTCGCGAGCCCTGGTCCATATAGCTTACACGATACTTCCTGAAATTGCAGTTTCTGGTCAGATAATCATGCAGGCTGTTCGGCCAATCATAAATCTCCTGAACTCCGAGTGTTCCGTGAATGAGAATTGCGAGACTCTAACAGCTTTATGCAATCTAGCTAGCATCAACGACAGCATGCGAAAACATATATTCAAGGAGGCAGGATTTGAGAAAATCGAGGACTATATGCATGACGATAACAACATGTTGAAACGAACATCCGCACAACTCATAAACAATTTGGTATTATGCCATGAAGTTGCTATCCAATA